TTATAAATTTTTTTATTAATAATTATAATTTTTATTTATTTATTTTTATATTTATTATTTTTTTATTTATTTTATTTATTTATTTTTTTTTTTTTTTTGAGATAAATTGTCGCAATATTTTGAAATTTTTGAAATTTTTATATTTCTTTATTTTGATAAATATCTGGGAAAATTTCTCTCTTTTTTTATTGAATCGATATTTTTTTTTTTTTTTTTTTTCGAAAATAGAAATTACAACTCTTTAAAAAAAATATTGATTCAATGAAAAAGAGAGAAATTTTTCCAGAAATTTACCAAATAAAGAAATATAAAAATTAAAAAATTTAAAAATAAAATAAAATAAAAAAATAAGTAAATAAAAATAAATAAATAAAAGTACATAAGTAAATAAGCATAATAATAATAAATAAATATAATATGTTTATTACAACAACATAAATATTCCCTCAAATAAAATATTTATTTTCCCAGGAAATTCCATAAATTTTCAAATGAGCAACTTTTTCCTACGAAAAAAAGTCTTCAATTTGTATTTCATTTCACCTTAAAACAAAATTTGTCATAAGTTTTTTTTTATAACCTGTTTTTTTGTTATTGTTTTTTTTTCTTGCCAAGTATTATTCACATTCTAATTTTTAATTGTTTTCTCTAATATTGCTTTATTAACTACGTAGTAGCCATGCCTATTATAATAAGAAAATATTTTATAATTGCCAATTAATTCCTTATCAATCTATGGCTTCACTTCACATTTTCTACGTTTGATAGATTAATAATGTCGAGATATTGCACGTCTATGTTGGAATAGATAGATAAAACATGGAATAGGTGAATGAGGGAAATAAGCATTTCATGATGAAAATGTCGTGAATTAATTCATGGCATGAAAAAATAACAAAAAAAAAAAACAACAATAAAATTAGTTGAAGTTTGAAAATATTATTCTGACTGAAGGGAAGGTGATTGTCACGGAAATTTTCAAAAATACATCTACTTCAATTGGGTTGGCCTTTTTAATTTATTTATTTTATTTTTTATTTATTTACATTCAATTAACACAATTACCTAGTCCATAGGGCCATGGACGGTCCCAAAATCTTTTATATATGACTACCCTAATTTTTTTTTTAAATTAAAATTATTATTTTTTGAAAAATATTACCAAAAAAAATCCAATTTTTATTTGAAAATATTTAAAGGCAGTTTTATGGCCTTTAATTTTAATTTTTATTTTTTGATTTGATTTGATTGGTTCAAAGAAAAAAACACTTAATGTCCAATTGTACCATATGTTCCATTTTTGGGTAAACATTTGATTTTATAGTTCTATTTTTTCATTTCAAAACATTTACAGCAAAAAAAAATCGATTAAAAAACGCAATTCAGTTCTTTTTCAATTTCGATTGTCAAAAGGCCTCCATTCTAATGGGAGTGGTGGCCATCAGCATTGTTCTTGTTTACATTGTTGCTTCATTACTCTTTTGCCCCTTCTCCCTCTTGAACATAAATAGTGCAGAGATTTGTTTTGTAAATCTCTACCACTTCAATCAGATCCATTAAAAAGTACTTCATTACATTATAAGAAACAACAACAATTCAATTCCATTTACAGTTGACCCTTTTCTCTTCGAGAAATTGACTCCAATTAGATTCTCATTGAATGAACTCTCACACTCCCACAATATCCCCCCAACTACAACTTATTCTCTTTGCAATGACTCCCTTAGTCAGATTAACATTCAATACAAACACATAAATACTACCATATTCCTCTGTAGAAGAGAACGACGGAAATGGAGGTCAATTTTGTTATTTTAATTGATTAAAAAATACATATTTAAAAGATAAAAAAATAGATATTTAAAAAGAAAATATTTGAAAAAATATTAAAAAAATATATATATTAAATTAGGAGGAGGCCAACATGACCTAAGTCTGATATAAATGCCAGATTCGGACTGAATCCGACTACTCCCTAAACTTTATATGATATATGTGATAATTTTTTATGAAAATGTTGAAATGCGCGTAATGTACCAGAAATAGTGGACCGAAGGATTCCACTTCATCTACAAAATTTAAAAAAATCTAAGATTTATTTCGAGTTTTTTGCGATTTAAAATTCACAATGTTAAACTTTTGGGGGATGTGCCAGAAGGAGTGGTCCGATCTGTTCCATCTTCACAACAGATGTTGTGTTAGTAAAAATAATGAATTGTGTGAAAATTAAAGAGAGTCGGATGCGCATTTTGCATTTTGTGAGCATTTTCGTTAATTAAAATCTAGACACCTTTGTGGGGGAGGTACTAGAAGGAGTGGTCCGATCTATTCCATATTCATACCAAGTCTTGTGTTAGTAAAAATATTGGAATGTGCGAAATATGAAGAGAATCACATGCTTATATAGCATTTTATAAACATTTTGACTATTCAAAAAATTTGACCTGATGTGGGGGAGGTACCAGAAGAAGTGGCCCTAGATCAGCCGTCTTTACACAAAATATTGCGTTAACAAACATATTTGGATGTACGAAATTTCAAGAGGATGTATTTTTTGAGAGTTACAATTATTCAAGAATTTTTACCCTTTGTGGGGGAGGTACCAGTAGGAGTAGTCCGATCTGTTCCATCTTCACAGCAGATCTTGTTTTAATAAAAATATAGAGATGTGTGAAACTTTAAGAGAATTGGATACTTATTTCGTATTTTGTAAGGGAGTTAATTATTCAATAATTTTGACCTGTTGTGAGAGGGGTACCAGTAGGAGTGGGTCGATATATTCCATCTTCACACCAGATCTTGCGTTGATCGGAGTATTGGAATGTACCTAGTTTGGAAGGTATCGGATGCTCAAATCGTGTTGTATGCGCTTCATGTTTTTTTAACATTTTGACCCCCTTGTGGGGGAGGTACCAGAAGGAGTGGTCCGTTCTATCTGGTTTTCATGCCAGATCTTGTGTTGAGAGAAATATTATGATAGGCGAATTTTGAAGACAATCGGATTCTTATTTCACATTTAATAAGAGTTATATATATTCAAATGTTAACCCTTTGCGGGGGTGTAATTGATAGCGTTGGCCGATTTTGTCAATTTTCTCACCTCTCCTAGCACAAATTAAAATATTAATATTTGCTAAGTTTGCAAAAAATCGGATGATCCTTTCTTGTTCCATAACGAAAATTGTTTTTTCGAAATTGGTAACGTTTGTGGGTAGGTACCAGAAGGGGTGGACTGATATTTTCAATCATTGAACTCGATCTAAGTTTGATAATAATATTACAATGTATCATGTTTGGACCAAATCAGATACTTCCTTCGAGAATTATCGTGCCCAACCAGCAAGACAGACAGGAAGACGATCACCCCTAGATCCCTGAAACGGATTTGGTCCAAAGAGACTTAAGGTGTAGAAACTTTATGTCGACGAGGCTCATTTTGGCCATATCAAATGATATTTACCCTCTTCAGCCATATGGCTGGGGATATAAAATTTGGAATCTGCAAATATTTCCATGAAAAATTAAAAAAAAAAAACAAAAACTAAAAAATGTTCTACCGACATTTTATACATTTATATTTTAAATTGATAAAAAAAGTTTAAAAAAATCTAAATTAAAAAAACTGGCTTTTTTAATTACTCTTTAAGTTTTTCCTAAGCATTAAACATTGTCTAAAAATTTCTAAATTGTCAATTTCTTGCTGGAAGCATTTCCGTTCCACCAAAACACCTTCTAATCTTCTCGGTTTTTTCTCCCAACACCATTAGGTGGCTTCCGCACATTATTACGGTATTAGTGTGTGTCGTTTATTCTTTTTCTTTTGTTTGAACGGCGAGAGGAAGTTAGATTTATGAGATTCTATTAGAAATTTCCGACAACAACAACAACAAAAATAATATTCAAAAAATTTACATGGCATAAATTAAACTCAACACCTTGTGAACTGATCATGATCAAGTGATGTGATGGGTGTGAGTGTGTCTGTCTGTGTGGAGTGTGATCACGAAAGTGAACAACACGTTTCAAAAAAAAAAAAATAAATAAATAAATAAAAATCAAATAATAATAATAAAAAATAAAAAATAAATAAAAAAGGGAAATAAGAAAATGGAACTAAACTAGACTCACTATTAGTTGTATTCGAAGAAAAAACAAAAATTATAATCTTAAATAAAATATTAAAAAAAGAAATAATATGAAGTTTAGTAAAATTATATATTTATAAAAAAAATATAAAGAAATAAATTTATTTATTAATAAATAAAACAAAGGATACAAAAAAATGAAATAGATTACACAGAAAGTAAAACTCCTTTGAGGAATCCTCCATTTTTAATTAAATAAACAAAGAACGGCTATTCTTCATGAAATATTGCCTCTTTTGAATTGCTCTGTTACTCTCTTAAGGCAACTAATTCCCATTTATTATTCTTTTACTTATTCGATCAATTCTCCCTTCTAATTTGTCTATGCCAACATTCCAACTTCCCTTATGAATAAATCCACTACTTTTGCCCTCATTAAATCATTTCCCCTAGTTAACTCCCCCATTTCAACCTCTAAATGATCTCTTAATGTCTCTGTCAGTCTCTCTCTCCCTTTATCTCTTTGAATAAATCACCCATCAAGTGATTGACCTTTGTTCTATGCCGTTAAATCGTGTCATGCATTTTAAAAAAATTGTCACACTCTTTGTTGGCTTTGCTAATGCGGGCAAGTAAATAAATAACTGTTTGCTCTCATGACGAATTTAAGGCCTCCCTTGATTTTGTCTCTCTCTCTTTCGGGGGATCTCAAATGCCGAATCCTCGCCTTCATTTTTCGGGGAAATGTATACTCTTTTGGGGGGCCTTCTCACAGAGGTTTGTTTATTTGCTTTACTGCTGGGTGAGGAGTGATGCTATGTGTATGAGTGTGGTAGTGTGTGTGTACACACAATTGGGTGGTTTGTTGATGGGATGAATGCCATCAATATTTTATTTTTGCTCTCAATGTACATTTTTCTGGGATATCATTTGTAGTTGTTGTTGTTGCTGCTGCTGCTATTTTGTATGTGAATCCCGCGTCATCATTATTTTATGATTGTAATTTTTATTTTATGATTATTCTCTGTTTGTATTGTTGTTGTTCTTGTGAGAAGGGAAAATACATACATTCTTTGATGCTGGTGGTGTCTATCAAAGTAGTCGGTTGATGTCGTCTACATCGTTGCTGTTCGTTTCGTTTCTTTTCATATATTGTTGTTGTTGTTGTTTGATTCCTTCAGAAGAAAACGACGATGATGACGAGTGTCTCAACAATTGAGGAGAGCAACAAATTGGGTTTGTTTTGTTTTTACTCGCAGGGGGTTCGTGAGTTGTTGTGCTGCCGTTGCCCGTGAATTTTGTAGTTTGCCAAAGATCGCCGCCGCTCATCTTTTTCTTTTCCGTACAATTTCCCCAAATCATTTTCAATCGATCAAACGTGACCACGACGAATCGTGTTAAAATATTGGAAAATCGTTTATTTTGGTTTTTGGTGTCGCGTTTTCATTTGCCTAGAAGTGATTTAATCAAAGTAATTTATTGGAGATACAAATTGCAAAAAAATATAAAAAACCGATTTAAAAAATTAAAAAAAGAAAAAAATAAAAAATAGAAAAAAATTAACAAAATTAAGAACTTTAATCAAAAATCTATTGCTAAATATTTGTTTGGAGAATTTGTTCTGGAATCTCTGTATATTAGCTAAGCTAATACGTGAATATTACACAAAATAAAATTCTTATCTTTAAATCCGGTCCATACTGGCCCGGAGATAACAAACATTTTTTTTTTTGCTTTTGTTTGTTTAAAGCAAAATGTGATTATTAGAAGAAATAAAAAACTTGAATAAATGAAAGCAAGTGACAAATATTTAAAGAAATTTTACCTAGCCAATGGGAACGAACTAAAAAAATTTAAAACGACAAGTTATAAAAAATATGGATTTAGAAATCAAAAATTAAAATTAAAAAAATTGGTACATAAAATACTAAAATTATAAATAACAAAAAATATATATTAAAAAATTAATACAAAAATTATTTTTAACACAAAAAAAAAAAAAATAGAAAAATAATAATAAAAAATAATGAAATAATAATTGAAAATATTTGTATAAACACAATTGTATTAATTAAATTTGTTTTTATATTTGTATTTTTAAAAAAAACCTCGCTCATGACGAGAAAGCCATCGCAAATACATTTATTGGCTGAAACACGTTTTAAGCTTATTTTGTAATCCAGAAAAAAAAAAAAAATACTTAGAATTCAATGCCTACAGAATATTGATTAGCTGTGAATATAAAGTAAAGCAACAGAAAACTGGGTCATGAAACGAAGATGCATTCGAATATTTTAAATAGGCTACGGCCACAGAGGGCCTCATCAAAACGATTTTAGAAGAGGCTTAGCTCTTCGAAACAAATCCATTTCAGGACATTTGGAGTCGATCTACGGGTATCCATCCGTGCGTCCGTCACCCTGTTTGGCCGTCCGTCACCCTATCTTGCTGATGATAACTCTCGAAAGGAGTATCCTATATGGTCCACAATTGGTATAACGTAATATTATTATCAAGCTTACATCGAGCTCGAAAATGGGTGATATCGCCCCAATCCTTCTGGTACCTCCCCCCAAAACTTTAAAATTTTCACCTATAGAGCATGGAAGGATCATCCGTTTTGGTTCAAACTTTGCAAATCCTAATATTTTTATCAGAGCTAGGTCAGGTGGGAAAACGGACAATATAGACCACTCTTTCTGGTACCCCACCCACAAAGGGGACAAAATTTTGAATAATTAAAACTCTTATAAAATGTGAAATAAGAGTCCGATTGTCTTCAAATTTCATACATACCAACATTTCCATTAAGGCAAGATATGGTGTGAAGAACGGGTGAAACAGATCTCACCTTTTGGTACCTCGCCCAGAACGGGTCAAAATTTTTGGAACATTATGACTCTCATAAAATCCTAAATAAGCATTCGAATCTCTTCAAACTCGGCACATCCCAATATTTCTATTAATAAAAGACCTGGTATGAAGAACGGGTGGAACTGACCCCTCCTCCTGGTACCTCGCCCACAATGGGTCAAAATCTTTAAATAATTGTAACTCGCGTAACATAAGAGATTTTTTATCTCTTATGTTACGCGAGTTCTCTTAAAGTTTTATACATCTCAATATTTTCATTACCCCAAGAATTAGTGTGAAGATGGGATATATCAGCCCACTCCTTCTGCTACCTCCCCCACAAAGGGGCTAAAATTTTGAATAATAAAAACGCTAATAAATTGCGAAATATGAATCCGATTATTTTCATACTTGGCACATCTTAATATTTCTATCGACACAATATCTGATGTGGAAATGGAGTATATAGGACCACTCTTTCTGGTACCTCCCCCACAAAGGAGCCAAATTTTTGAATAATAAAAACGCTCATAAAATGCTAAATAAACATCCAATTTTCTTTAAATTTTACATATCACAATATTTCTACAAATACAGCATATTCTGCAAAGATGGTAGATATCGGACCACTGCTTCTGGTACCTCCCCTACAACGGGTCAATTTTTTAGAATAAATGTAACACCCATAACATGCCAATTAAGCATCAGATTATTTCCAAATTTCACATTTCCCTATATTTCCATAAACATAAGATTTGGTGTAAAGATGGGATACATCGGCCGGCACTCCTTCTGGTACCTCCCCCACAAAGGGGTCAAAATTTTGAAAAACAGAAGCGCCTATAATATGTGATTTAAGCATCCGATTCTCTTCAAATTTCACATAGTCCAATATTTTTAGTAACTCATGATCTGGTGCAAAGATGAAAGATATCGGCCCACCCCTTTTGGTACCTCCCCCACAACGGGTCAATTTTTTTGAATAAATGTAACACGCATAACATGCCAAATAAGCATAAAATTATTTTCAAATTTCACATTTCCTCATATTTCTATAAACATAAGATCTGGTGTAAAGATGGGATACATCGGCCCGATCCTTCTGGTACCTCCCCCACAAAGTGGTCAAAATTTTGAAAAACAGAAGTGCCTATAAAATGCCATATAAGCATCAGATTCTCTTCAAATTTCACAATTCCCTATATTTCAATCAACATAAGATCTGTTGTGAAGATGGGCTACATCGACCCACTCCTTCTGGTACCTCCCCCACAAAGCGGTCAACATTTTGAATAACAGAAACGCCTATAAAATGCGAAATAGACATGCGATTCTCTTCAAATTTCACATATTCCAATATTTTTACAAACATAAGATCTGTTGTAAAGATGGGGTACATCGGCCCACTGCTTTTGGTACCTCTCCCACAAAGCGGTCAAAATTTTGAGAAACAGAAACGCTTATAAAATGCGAATTGGACATACGATTCTCTTCAAATTTCACACATTCCAATATTTTTACAAATGTAAGATCTGGTGTGAAGATGGGATACATCGGCGCACTCCTTCTGGTACCTCACCCACGACGGGTTAATTTTTTAAATAATTATAACTCTCATCAAATGAGGGAAAAGTCTTCGATCCCTTCGAAACTCCGCACATCCCAATATTTTTACTGACACTAGGCTTGTTGTGAATATGACAGATATCGGCCCACCCCTTCAGGTACCTTCCCCACAAAGGGGTCAACATTTTGAATAACCAAAGGGCTCATAAAATGCGATATAGGCTTCCGATTCTCTCTAAACTTCAGACATCTCAATACTAAACCTGTTGTGAAGATGGTAGATATCGGCCCACTCCTTCTGATACCTCCCCCACAAAAGGGTAACATTTTTTAAAGAATTGCAATGGTCATAAATTCCAAAATTAGCGTCCGAGTCTCTTCCAATTTCAGATGATCTAATATTTTTACAAACTCAAGATCTGGAATCTGAAGGTAGTAGATATCGGCGATCTTCTTTAGAAAAATCCGACATTTTTTTAAAAAAAAACGACATAATTTTTGTATATTTTTATACCATTGGTTTCCTCTCCCTCTCTCTCTCTCTATATATATATATATATATATATATATATATATATATATTTTTTTTTTTTTTCTAACTCCATCCTTTTTTTGAATATCCGCTATTAAATATTATGTTCTCAGACTTTAATTATCTTTGGAACGTGCCTTTCCTCTAACATTTTTGAATTATTGGGTCGGCCATTAAGGTGCATCGGTTTAGTTTATTTTCATTTTTATTGAAATTTAATAGCCAGTCTCACAGCCAGTGGAGAGCAGGAAATGCCTAGTTTATGAATTCTAAAAGAAAATTGAAAAACACACAACACCATGGAAACTTAGTTTATTGCAGTTACACGTGACCATAAAGCAAAGGTAATGAAGGTGAGGGGGAGGTGGCGACAGGCAGCAGCAACATTACCTTGGCAGGTTTGTTGGTTGGCTGGCTGGCACATCATTCATAAACATCTAATTACAATGCAACACCAGGGCCACAAAATAAAGCGAAGAAAAACAAAAAACCCTAAAAAACAACACTTCCGCCTTTGCTGCAAGGCAAGAAGAAAGAACGAAACGAAAATTAATAAAAAAAAGATTCTTAAAAAAATTCAGTTTTCTTTGCCTTACTTCTAAAAATGCAATCTTTTGCCTCATGTTCGCTTGCCATGTTTTTCTTTTAATAATAAAATTATATGTTGCATTGTAAGCGAGTAGAACACGAAAAAATATTTTTTCCTTTGCTATTTTTAATTTAAAAAAATAATTCTGTGGCTAGTTGCTTTAAAAAAAATATCTGCAGCCATGTTTGCCATGAAGCGTTAAATTATGTTTTTTCCCTCATCTGGATTTTTTGTTTTGCAAACTGCAAGCAAAGCCAGGAGGAGGAAGGGGGAGGAGAGAGATGCGAAAAGACTGGAATTAAATTTCAAGTTTTGGGCCTTTGTTAAAACGAAAAACAAAAAAAACGCCTCTAAAGAAAACTCCAGGAAAATCATGGCTGGTAAAGGAGAAAAAACTTGGCAACTAGAACCCCTAAACACGAACAGCTGGAATTGGATTCTCTGTTGGCTGGCCAAAGAACAATAGACCGATATGACAATCTAGAAGGCGGGCAAGCGAAGTAGTACCCTACTCCCTATGCCTCCTTCCTCCCTCTCTCCTCCTCTTCTCCCAAGAAACTCGTAAAAACCAAGTCTAAACGAAAAACCCAAGCTCAATTGTTAATTGTTGCTGCCTGGCAAGGTAAACCTGAACATCTAATATCTTGCCACGGAAAATAAAACCCCAAGCCACGCTTCGTTAAGTTTTTCGCGAGGAACTATAAAAAATAAAAAAAAAATAGTTACAGAAAAGAAAAACAAAAATAGTTACAGAGATTGAAGATGACCAAAGCAAACCCCTCTCCATTTGCAAATTATTAAACAATGGCGGGCAGTCTTGACCAAATCTGAGAAGAAAACATAATTTTTTTTTCTTCAAATTATTCCACATTTTATGAAAGCATTATTTTGTTAAATTATCGGTAACCGGGGTAATCATGCGCAATATTTT